GGTTCAGTGGAGATATAAGGACAATAATAATAGTAATAATAATAGTAAGGGGTGAGGAGGGAGGGGAAAAACACTAAAACTGAGCAACACTCAGCAAGACACCCTGAACACTATGCACTGTAAAACTACAAGGACATATAAACGTGCACACTTAATTGCAACAGAGTAAGCCACTGACCCAGAGGGCACTGAAAATTGCCCCACAACAGGCCTATATTCTAGTGCAGTAACGCAAACCGTGGCAAAAATGCCAGAACATAGGATAACTGCCAGCTCTCCAAAGCATGCCAATAAAACGCTAACAAACACAAATGCCACGCTAACACCACGTGCCTTAAACTGGTCAACTTCTGCAGTTTTAGGTGCAAACATGTACAGTACCATCCCTCTCAAGAGGGTGGCACCATAATCCTTTTCCCCTTTCAGTCCACAAAATTTTGGTACTTTTTAATGCATTTTCACACGTATGTGCAAAATCTTACATACAACTTCAACTATTGCCCCACCTAATTAAGGATACCCATGTCACTAATATGGCTTCCCTTTGAGGTCTCTTTTCAGTCCCAACGTCACAAGTTGATTATTTTAACTCATATCAGATAGTGAGTGTCAAGTGTCATCTTTGAACAGTTTAGAAATAACAATAAAAATCTCTTTTTAAGCTGGGCTTAATTGTAACGTTTTACGTAATGTTTCTGTCTATCATTGTTGCCTTTTTTAATAGTCATATGTGGCTTTGCTGTTTGTTTGTTGCTGTTTTTTTACATATTTTTTAAACCTTGGCAAGGCTGTGCTCTAAGGAAAATTGAAGAGAGCCCAGTGCTCTGAACCTGTAAAATATAGGAGGCCCAGCATATGATTGTATCAAAAAAACTATGGTTTCCTAGTTGCCCGGGAGTAAAAGTTAGGCGCCAGGAGACAACGGGCTCTACTAGAGCACAGCCCTGCTTGGGACCACTGTAATTGGCTTACTGCTGTTGTGGTATTTCTGCCTAATTAAGCAGTTATCCTTCTTTGTTTTCAGTCCATATTAGTTTTATTATCTTTTCTTTTTTTTCTCTCTGTTTTTTTTTATCACATTATAGGCAAAGCTAATAAAATAAAATATAATATAATAATGTCTTTGGTTAAATTTAAGCTTCTTGTGTCACAGATCTATCAAAATTCCTTCTCTACTGCCTTAAGTTTTGGAAGTTACCTTTTTTGCTTAAAAATGTCTCAAAGTCATAATTTCACTTATCAGTGGTGACATACCGTATCATTAAAGTTGTCCAAGCTGTTTTGGAAAAAAAGGGTTGCGGGGAATGGGGGCGGATTCAGACCCTTTGTTGTCCTGGAGTTAATCCTGCATAATTTGCATAACTTGCAGCTGTAGATAAATTGAGACTCTTGCAGGGTACAGCTTTTGTAATGTCATGTATGGGGTTAGTAATCTAACTTGTGCGAAACTGGGGAAATCCATCAGAGTTCAGACCATGTAGAGAAATGTTTTTTACTTATTAACCGAGTATTCAAAACTGTGTTGGCACCAAATGACTGCCTGTAGAGCTACTACATGTACGCACTTAGTTTAGGTTTTCAAGAAAAAATGTTGAATAGTTAGAAAGTAGCCTTAGCAAACGTGTGACATTTCGTGACGCTATCACTGGTTTCATCGCAAAATGATGTCTGTAAAATGAGTGCAGAAATTCCGTACTGATGACATGTCAATACCCAGATCTGGCAGTGCTTTTGATTGGTTGAAGCAAACTTTCAGCCAATCAGACCCTAGCTACCCAGATCTGGGTAGTGAAAGGTCACCAGTATGGAATTTTTGTCCTCATTTCCCAGACGTCGTTTTTCAGGGAAACCAGTTGTGGCCTGGTGAAATGTATGCTGTTTTCTCGGGCTGTTATAAGAAAAGGTGGAAATGATTACATGAATCAAGAGACTATAAAGGGGACAGAGAGGCCATCCCCCATATACACCCTATTCCATAGGTAATTCGTCTCGAGTTATTTTTAACACCACAGATCTCAAGGGGGATTAGAAAACAGCCAATCACATAGCGCGAATGTGTTCCGCGTGGATGACCCACGCTGAGAGCCACGCGTCCTTCACGAAATGACGCAGAACAAAATGGGGAAGACGCGGAGAGCGATTTTGCTATTCCTTTTGTCGACGAAAACGACTACAGCGAGATTTCTGCGAAAGCTGTGTCAGCGAAACCGAAATTAAAAAAGAATCGCCCTTCCTCTCTTGTATAGAGCTAACAGTAGAGCAGGGAAATCCTTAACACACTGAATATTCTCTCAGGATCATTTATAATTTACAGTTTGAAGAGAGCAATTTCTGGTTTGATGTTTATTTTTTTCAGTCTTTATAGCGATTATTCCTACCCACTTACTTTGTCAATTGTAGGCGAACCCTCCTAAAGCTGAATTTCAAGGGACCATATTCAAGCTCAGAAAGAGAAATAAAATTTCGTCGTTGCTTATTTACGTCCTCCATAAAACGCGAAATTAGGCATTTTCACGTCGTAGTCGTGCAAAAACGGGAAAGAAATGAACAAAAAAGTGTGTTGCACGTGCGAAGTTGTTGTTTTGCTAATTAAACCTATTGTTTTTTTGACGTTCTAGTTGTCGTCCGCGTCGTTGGATCTTAAACTCCCTAAATTGTACAAACGACCGGTTTCAATAGACCGGCGAAATTTCTCATTTTATTAAAGCACTGAGGTTACGACAACTTCGAGTTAAACTGATTTCACGGGTTGTCAAAGAGTCCAGCGATTCCTTTTTCCCAGGTGAGCGCCGACTCATTTCGCTTCAATATTCAGGAATGCTCTCGATCTTTTTACGCTTTCATTGCCTCTCGCCCGACATGTTTTGCACGGCGTTTGGTCATGCGAAACCTCCACGAAACATCCACGCCTCGCGCGAGGTAACTTTATCCCGATTCTAAAAATAACTCGAGACGAATTACCTATGGAATAGGGTGTATATGGGGGATGGCCTCTCTGTCCCCTTTATAGTCTCTTGATGAATATATTTTTAACAGTTTGTATAACCTCCATCCTTCCTTTGTACAGTGGAACCCTACCTTATGGCTACCTCAGTAACACGGTCACCTCGTTATTATGGCCACCTTCTTTTACGAGCCATACATTTCCTTATAAAAAAAAACCGTTAATGTCATTGTGGTCACCCAATGGCCACATGAAATCCCAAACAATAGAATCTCTTCTAATTTCACCCCGTTAATACAGCCACTTTTCCAAATTTAGAAAATTAAATTACCTGTAACATGTCAGTTTTATCGACCTAGTACTCTGAGCCTGTTCTTGTACTGTTTTTAAAATACAGTACACGTAAAGTGCACTCGATTTTTTAGCCGAATTTTAAAAAGTGTCTTATCTACTGAAGGAAAATTTTAAGTAGTTTTTTCAATTACTGTATGTGATATCTACATTCTGGTTGTTTATTAATGAAAACAGTTGTTCAAGAAATGCGAATGCGATGTATGGTGTATTTGTCACAAGGGCCCTCAAGTCATGAAATTTGAGCCTGCCCGATAGTATGACCACCCCGTTAATACGGCCAAATTTTTTTGACCCATTGGTGACTGTATTAACAGAGTTCCACTGTACAGTCTTGGAAATGTTAGATGCTTAGCCCCGCATAGCGTACCACTCTTATGGCTAATAACATTTTTTTAACATTTTAATACCGAGTATTGCAAAGATTTACTTTGAAAGTAGAAGTAAAAATAAACTTTAAAAATAATTAATATTTTACTATTTTTTTGGTATGAATTCACAGAAATTCCATCTCAGTGCAACTGATGCATTCTGGGTTTTATATATTTCTTTCATTAAAATCAGTTACCTTCACAACTGCCACATCTATTTAATTGTATATTTGTTATGGTTCCTTATCCTACTATCCTACGCACTATTGGTTTGATTCCTTTCAGAATCTCGTTTTTTATAAGTTCCATGCTTCGCTGATGTAACTTCCCTTGTGTAGTTCGTGACGCCTTAGTATGACGAAGCCAACTTAAAAGTCATTACTTGTGTCCAGAAATAAAAAATAACTCTTTTTTTATGGCGATGATGATGATTTAATTTATTTCATTATCGGTCATTTTATTTGTTTATTTTGGCCTGTAGTACAAGCCAGACACAATTTTAAGTCTTCTCAGTGTATTTGTGAGGGTAAATACTATTTCCTCAGGGGCACCCAACGGCAATTTTCGGAAAATATCTGTTCGGAAGACGATTTGAGATCTAGAATTTGCGGAACATTTATTGTCAAATTTCTTGCTTGCCTGCCTCTCCTAGGATTTTCGAACATCTACAAAATGGTATAATTACCCATTTTTAACGGATTTTTACCCTAAAAAAGGCCACCTAGAATTTTCGGGAGCCTTTTCCTGGCTGAAATTTTCGAAAAGGTAAGTTTTGATCCCTATAATTTTCGGATCACTAGACTTTCAGCTAGCAAATCCGAACAGATGAAAAGTTTTTAGGGGATAAAAATATGCCTATATCTACCGTTTGAATACTAAAATACGTTCAACAATGCTTTGTTAAGTGGTTTTGAACTATATCCTCGTTGGGTGCCCCTGTTTCCTGAAACTTGTTTTGTTTGTTTGTTGTTTTTTGTAATGTAGGTACAAGTCTTGTGGGTGTGTTATAATATGTGAAAGTATTGTAAATAAATGAGGGGAAAAACCTGGATTTTAAGCAGCATATATTGGGCACAGGTATTATTATTCCATCTGACGTATTCCATATGACGTCATGTAGACGCTTGCGTTTAGGCGAGGTTAAGGCTAGGGGACACTTTGTGATGTCTATCATAAAGGGCTCATTAACTTGCAATCCTGGACAAAGAAAGTCAAACCTCAGCAGGAAGTCATACAGGGTCACCATTTGAACACTAACTAGTGATAAATTTATTGAATCATTTGCTATGTTTTGTTTTCTTTTAGGTTTTTAGCCATTCTGACCATGCTTAGAAATGGCGTGTTTTCGGGAAAGATCCCTCAAAGTACAAGTCACCATTTTGGCCTCTAAATGGGGATCAAGCAAAGAAGGGCTGTCCACCATAAACAGCGAATTAGCCATTCAGTTAGCCAAATGTCCTGAAGCGGAAATCACTTTCTTCCTTCCACAATGTAGTGAAGAGGACAAAAAATTAGCACTGCAACACAAGGTAACGATTATCGAGGCAACTCGCCGGCCTGGCTTAGAAGAACTGGACTGGCTTCTCTTTCCACCAGAACATTTACAAATAGATGTAATCGTTGGTCATGGGGTTAAACTTGGCAAACAAGCTCAAATCATTAAAGAATCCAAAAAGTGTAAGTGGGTCCAAGTCGTGCACACAGACCCAGAAGAACTGGGAATGTTTAAGAAGAATTCAAACCCAATTTCCAAGGGTCAAGAGAAACATAAAACAGAGGTAGAGTTGTGTGAAATGGCAGACCTCGTTGTAGGAGTTGGACCCAAGTTGAGTGAGGCCTTCCGCTCGTATCTTCGAGGGTGCCAAAAGGATAAAAGTGTAGTGGACTTGACTCCTGGAGTATTTCAAGAATTTTCCAGCTTGAAACAGGCTGCGGAAGAAAGAAAGCATCGCAGTGTCTTAGTGTTTGGTCGTGGGGACGAAGAGGATTTCGAACTAAAGGGGTTTGACATCGCTGGAAAAGCGGTTGCTGCATTAAAAGATACTCGTCTTGTGTTTGTTGGCGCTCCAGATGGAAAGCACGAAGAAATAGCGAAGCGGTTAACCGGATGTGGTGTTCCTGGAAGTCGCTTGAAAGTAAGAGGATTTATTGAGGACCGAGAGAGCTTAAAGCGCTTGTTTCAGGAAGTGGATCTTGTAGTCATGCCTTCACGAACGGAGGGCTTTGGATTGGCAGGACTTGAGGCCCTGTCAGCTGGTCTCCCTGTGCTTGTCAGCCGCAACTCGGGGTTTGGAGAAGCACTGTGCAGTGTACCATTTGGTTCATCCTTTGTAGTAAATTCAGTGGACCCCACTGATTGGACTGCAGCCATCTCGAAAATATGGGACAAGGACAGAAAAAGTCGACTTGAGGAAGTGGAAACTTTGCGCGATTCGTACGACAAGAAATACAACTGGGCTAAACAGATAAAAGATCTTCTACACAAGATGATCAGCTGGACTAACGGTATGAATGTCAATTGCATTTTTTTTTATTGTACTTTAATTTAAGCACTATGACCACGCCTGCTGATAATGGCAGCAAATTTTAGTTTTCTTAATTTAACCCCTCCTTTAAATCAACAATTTTTGATGTTTAGGTCGGGCTCTCCACTCTAAAAATTTATTTGGATTACTTAAAACGCTGTCTAGGATGAAAAGAAACAAAGGTTGTTTCTTGTAAATAGTGTTATATAAACCCACGATCCAGAAAACAAGAAACCTGAGCGTTTTTACTCTTTCATACATTCCTAAAAGACAACAATCTTGTCCTTTTTTCTGCAGTTGATTTTTCAAATGTTCAGAGCGTCCCCGAAACAATAGGTGAAACTGTTGTATCTTGTCACCTGGCTTCTCAGGCTACACGAGGCACGACAGAGAAACATGCAGGTAACCCTTAAATCTAAAGCGTGATCAGAATAAACAGCTTCGACGATTTCTCTTCCGATTCTGTTTTTGATGGTCGGTTACGGTCCAATACCGCAGTCACCTTTTAAAGCCTATAAGAGCTATCCAGCCATAGAACTCATTTCTAGTCATTTGAGAAGAGGATCTAGAGCAGAAAACTTGGTAGCGTTCACAGCGGTAGTAACTTAATTTCGCAGTGATTTAAGTCATGGTCGGTTACGCGATTATTTCTTGCCCTCGGTAAGGAATGCATGACAGAACAACTAAGCACATATGATAAACAATTTTAACCCTTCAAAGTTAATTGTCTCAGTTCGTTCCTGTAGTACGTTTCAGAAACGTCTTTGGATATGACACTGATTGCCTTTTGTATCTTATTTGTTTGTAAGGTGAGTGTAGGGTTGAAAGGAAGAAGAGAAACAATGAGGAGGACATCACGAAGAACCTTCAAACTGGAGCAAAGGCCAGAAAGACCATGGGCGATATCGTGGCTTCCGGATCTACAAGTAAGAGCTCATGATAAAGCTCAACTTCGCTGCGTCCCAGCATCAGTCTTCTCTTTTCCTTTCTCTTGCTTTGCCTCAGGTGTTGGAAAGAAGACACAGCCCGAAAATAATAGACCTTATCTATTCTGTTGTTTTGTTACTTCGTTGAAATCCCACGACTGTCTTCTGCAAAACAGTCCCTTTCCAAATTGATCATATTTACGGTCGTTCTAAAAAATATCGACAAAGGAGGCATTATCTTGGGAGCAACGCTTGGTTTGTGATGAGAATGGGGTTTTAAGCGAATAATGTCTATACAGTGTACTTAGATTTTAACACACGTACTGTATCTCAAAGGATTTTCCTTTAGTAGATCTAGTAAACAAATAATGATTTTTTTTTATTCTTCTTTTAGATCTTGATTCAACTCAGTATACCTCCACCAAGGGGAGGTCAAATTATTCCCGGTTATGTCTTCTTCTAATCAGCTTGGGTTCAAAAGCCCTCAAAGAAACGTTTGACAGAATAATTCCACCACAAAGTCTTCAACGCATTCTGAAACGGAACCCAGCACACTCTAAACTTCAGTCACGTCGAAAGGAAGGGATACTAAACTCATTCCAGTGGAGTAAACTGTATCCTACCACACCCTCCGAAGTTTCATCGGCAGGCTTCGACATCCCCCTGCTAATGGTTCTTCTAAGGACAATCTGTGATCTGAGTCCTCCACCCGCTGGCTGGGATGTTCCTCCTCTTCCCGAAGACCTAAGCCGTGAGTCTGACATTGCGCGTCTGAAATATTTCTTCAACGTCGTGTCTGGTCATGCTGGAGAAGGTTTTGTTAGTAATGCTGTATTCAGTAGCTTCTGGCAGCAGATCCATGACACTCTGGTTCGATTGGGAGGAGCTGATTATGAAGATGTCATTGAGCAACTGAGGTGTCAGGAAATGGACCTCCTAAGTGAAGAACATTTCAGAGAACTTCTCAAGCAGTGGAGGAAGGTGGAGGACAATATCAAAGACAAACTGAATGAACTGGAAAGTGCAGAGGCTTTAAAGGTGGCAGGTGAGTTTTTGTGATAAAATTTGTCTGCTGTTTGTATTAACATGGCTAGAGTGTAATAATTCAAAGTTTTAATTATTATAATGGTATAAGATGTGGTCAGTTTGGCAACGAACGGTAATTTTTGTTATGTGCTTTGCTATATATAACTAGGTCCTGCCTGAAAAGGTAAAATTGTCATTGAACGTTTTTAATTTATCTAAAGATTAGGCAAACGGAAGTTTTGCGAAGAGACCAGATGCTGAGTCTGAATCACGCTAGGTCTTGAGTAAACAGTCTTCCAACGTACTTTGACAACTTTGTTGAGGGATTGCTATGAAATTGCAATCTTCAGGTTAAGTGGAGGCGTTGTCCTCCACATACAGTTATGGTCTGTTCCTTAAAGTTGAGCCCTTCTCCTACGGGAGCAATCGTGGATAGGTTAAACTTACTGCAATATTGATCGCGATTGATTTTTTCTCCAAGGCCTTAAAATAAGTAATGTGTAGGCCCTAGTTACGTGCAGTGAAAATTGTTTTGCTTGGAAAGAACCCATTTTGGCAGGTTAAATGTAAAACAATAGCTTACGAAAATAATGATACTTACGAACGCAGAGAAATGTTAAAAAGGTACTGGCGAAGAGTAGTAGTACAGTACAGACGAACTAACAGAGGGATAAAGTCTAGAGGAAAAGACTTCTCTCGTACTAGCCGACTCGCATCCGAAGAAGCAGTGAGAACATAAAGCTACGTCAGTAAGAAAAGAAGACTAATAACTAACCGTACCGAAAATCTCGCGTAAGACAACAAGAGTAGTTGGGAGATTTAGAGTCACGTTGTAGACAAGCGGCAAACGTGAGATCAAGTTTTTCAATTTCTTAAATTAGGAGATGAGCAGGTAAAAACTGTCTTAAATATTTTTAGTTGTAGATGAACCTAAACCATCTTTTTTTTGTTGTTGTTGATATAATAAACAGTCGGTGACAATTAAAGGGAACACTTGATGACGTGGGACAATCTGACGTTTGCCGTAAACGTGATTTTAAACCGTGATGTTGACAAAATCGACTATAACAGCAGGAATGATCTGACGTACAGCGAAGCGATAACAAGACTAGACTACAACCACATGAACGCAATGACGCAACCGTAATGAAAAGCGGTAACGAGACATGTCTAACATATATTGACATACGGGAGTAAGGTTAATACCATAGGAACGAAATTATGTACGGGAAATGGGTTTGACCAAGAAATGATTACGCACGAACAAAACTAAAACAACAAACGAACAAGAAGTTTGATTGAACGAACGGACTCAAATGCGAGCTGCACGCGCAGTACGTTCTCAGCTGAAAAAAATAATAAAAATTAGTTTTTCATACCTGGTGACAATGGCAAGTGGGCTGTCGATTGGACAATCGAAGGATGCCTTTTTCTTTTAAGGGTTTTCTTTGGTGGCATAATAGACTGTTAACAGTCCCCTATGTTTTCGTAAGATCGTCAGGATCGAGCGCTTTTCAGTACGGGCGGCCTTTTTGATTAGGCTTTGATTCGGGACACTGAAAGTTAACCCACACGGTAATTTTTAGGGAGTTATTATAACTCCAAAAATGGAGTAAACATTTTAGGTACAGAATAACCCCTTTTTGGGGGTTACCTTAACTCCAAATTTAACTCCAAATTTGGGGTCATTTTTACTCCTGAGAAAGAGTTCTTTTTACTCCCAGTCTGGAGTTAAAACAACTCCGAAAATGGGGTTATTTTTACTCCTTACATGGGTTGTTTTTGCTCTTTTTGGAGGTACTTTAACTCTGAAAGTGGAGTAAAAATTTCAGGTACAGGATAACTCCTTTTTTGGGGTTATTTTAACTCTTCAATATCTGGGGTCATTTTTACTCCTGAAAAAGAGTTCTTTAAACTCCTTTTTGGAGTTAAAATAACTCCCCAAAGAATAACTCCACTGTAAGGAGTTAAATTAACCCCACTAGAGGAGTTATTATAACTCCTTGAAGATTACTGTGCAGATGGCCACCCGTAACGCAAAGCGCTCGATCTTGACGACCTTACGGAAAAGCAGGGGACTGTAGAGTTACGGAAGCTTTTTTTCAAGGTCAAAAGAAAATCATTCTAATACGGTACGAACGAGGCGACATACGGAAAAGCGCTTAGAACACAACACTAATGCCATACGAATAAGCCGACGTACGGAAGTGAGGTTAGAAGACAATACTCAGCACGTTTTCTCTCCCACTATCCAGTGTTAAAGAATATCTACTATAAGTAATTATCGGGCAAGATGACCGACCATTGATTGTTAGGCTGACATAGTCGCGGATGACCTGCCTTGATTCAAGTCATGGTTTTCGTACAATGCAAATCACAAAGAGGTTAGGTTAGAAGACAATACTCATTTCACACCAACACATTTACCAACAAGAGGACGTAAGGAAAAATGTTTAAAAGGCAGTGCTAATACAGTAAAAACTAGCGGAGAAATCTGGAGATGTTGGAGAGAGAGACGCGGGATGGAATTGGTACGGCTTCGGTTTTCTTCGGTTTTTGTAGATGTCAGTATGAATTCTGTCCAACTGTTCAGTGTTACACAATTTCCACTATAAACAGTAATTGTCGGACACCATGATCGACTATTTATTGTTGAGATGACAAGTTGAACGGTTGAGCTGCCTTTATTTCGAGCCTTGGTTTCCGCACAATGTAAATCTTAATGCGTGAATTTCCTTTCATTATTATTTGCAGCATTGAAACCTAGATACACATTAAAAGTAATTTACTCAAGCAAGACAGAATGCAGGTTATGATATTTTGCATTTTTTTTTAGATTTTTCATTCCTTACCGAAATTGTGGAAAAGATTCGTCAACTTTACGGAACACGTGAACAACGTCTCCTGCCTGTTCCTTGGTGTGAAGATTTCAGTTTTCATCTGAATGAAATTTTTACCAGGTTGAAGATCGTGAACAAAGATAAAACCCGAGGAGTACTTACTGACGATATTACCGATATGACTGGAATCTTTAAGCCGCATGCAGAATGCCAAAGGCCGCGAACAGTCTTGATTGAAGGAGACCCTGGCATGGGTAAAAGCACGTACTGTCAGAAGCTAGCGTATGATTGGGCAACTAAGCAGAAGGAGTTGGACCCCTCTTTTCCAGACATTGACGTGCTATTACTTCTCAAATGTCATGATGTGAAATCAAGCATCTTGGAAGCTATTGATGATCAAATTCTTCCTGCGGAAATTGACGATCAAGCTAGAGAATGTTTCTTCAAATTCGTTCGTGAAAATCAGTCGAAAGTCCTTCTAGTACTTGATGGATTAGACGAAATGGACTCCACTGAGATGAAAAGAATCTATGACTTGGTTGAGGGTAAAGAACTGTCAGGTTGTCACGTTATACTCACATCTCGTCATGAGGTAGGGAGGAAACTTAGGAGGTATTGTGACACTCTGTGGGAGATTGTAGGTTTCACCGAAGAAGATGCAAATAGTTTTATTCGTAGGTACTTTAAAAACATCAAAAGGGAGGACTTACTGGAGAATTTGCTACAAAAGATTCGGTATTCGCATGAGTTAAGAAACTTGTCAAAAAATCCCTTGAACGTAACCTTACTTTGTGTTCTTTGTGAAGATTTAGAGGGCATTTTTCCAACGAGCAGGACTGAATTGTACACTGAGATTGTCCTATGTGTGTTAAGGCGATATGAAAAAAAGCAAGGATTGTCGAGCAAAAGTGAAGACCTTATGAGCATCTACAGGGACGATCTAGTACATCTGGGACGAGTGGCGTTACATTCTCTTCGAAAAGGAGAGCTATATTTTGAAGAACACGAATCTGGAAGTACCTCTATTGCTTTATCGAAGTTTGGATTTCTTTCATTCCAGGCTAGTGGCTGCAAGAGGAAAGCTCTTGTGCGTTATGCATTTCTGCACAAAAGCTTCCAAGAGTTCTTTTCTGGATTTTATCTTGCTTGCCAAATTCTTGACGGAGGTATTGACTATGTCTCAGTAGTAAAAGACGAGAGATTTAAAAACGAACTAAAGGAAGCGTTTCTATTCATGTTTGGAATTTTAGCCTCAACGAGTAAGGAGACAGCAGAGTCTGTTATTAAAACTATGGCTGGAAATATCAATTTAATAGATCCCGAATGTAAGGAAGACATTCGTGAATTATTTCATTTAGCTTTAAGCTGCATTTTAGAGTGCACAAGTTTATCTCGTACCCTAGGGTTACACCTTCACATAAGTAATTTAGATTTGAGGTCGGTCGTCATTCGTGATTCTGGTGCTACTTCCCTTTCCCAGGCTCTTGCGACCAACTCCTCCTTAACTAGTTTGGATTTGTGTTCGAACAGGATTGGTGATTCTGGTGCTACTTCCCTTTCCCAGGCTCTTGCGACCAACTCCTCCTTAACTAGTTTGGATTTGAGTGGGAACGTTATTGGTGATTCTGGTGCTACTTCCCTTTCCCAGGCTCTTGCGACCAACTCCTCCTTAACTAGTTTGAATTTACATAGCAACTATATTGCTGCTTCTGGTGCTACTACCCTTTTCCAGGCTCTTGCGACCAACTCCTACTTAACTAGTTTGAATTTACATAACAACGATATTGCTGCTTCTGGTGCTACTACCCTTTTCCAGGCTCTTGCGACCAACTCCTCCTTAACTAGTTTGGATTTGAGTGGGAACGTTATTGGTGATTCTGGTGCTACTTCCCTTTCCCAGGCTCTTGCGACCAACTCCTCCTTAACTAGTTTGGATTTGCGTTCGAACAGTATTGGTGATTCTGGTGCTACTTTCCTTTCCCAGGCTCTGGCAGCCAATCCCTCCTTAACTATCTCGTATTTGGGAAGTGAGGAAGATGAGGATTAAGAACTAAACCTTAGTTCTCCTCTTCCTCACTTTCCACTTTCTGAGTATGTAAGTAAGAAAATTTGTTTATTTAGTACTTATCTATTTTTAGTTTCAAATATTCCCAGTAAAAAAAGTGAAAAAGTACAAGTAAAGTGTTCCTGACGTTGAGGAGAGAAAAAAATACCATCAATTTTTTGGTTAATTATTTTAACACAGTATCTTCAATTCATTCATATAATACACGTCAAAAAAACTTTGGAATTCGTTATCTATTGATGTTAGGAAAATCAAGCCGTTTTCCAGTTTTCGTCAATATATCAAGAATTCTGTGATTGATGGTTATAATACTATTATTGATTCCTAATTTGTTACGATTATATTATCTTAACTACTATTTAACTAATGAAGAAATACGTTTTATCTAAAATAACTATTTTGTATCTACATTCCTTCTACTCATATTCTTGTTAGGGTCACCTAAACGGTTTGTTCCACGAACTATTTAGGTGTCCCAAACTCTGCAAAATGAACCTACAATTGAAATCCTCTCTCCCTTCAAAATCTCTCGATTTTATATATTTTAAAGCACTAATTTGTATTAATTGTAATTATTCTGTGTAAGTTTAAATAAAAATTGACTTGACTTGACTTTCTTTTATTAGTGCTCGGGTGCCGAATCAAAAGAGAGTTCATACTTTAGGACCGTAATTGTGTGACGCGGGGTTACATCGCACCAATTGAAAGTTTTCGGTTTAACTGCTCAACCACTGTGTCTGGTCGTGGTGGCCGTGGTGGTCGTGGTGGTCGAGGTGGTCGAGGTGGTCGTGGTGGTCGCGGTGGTCGTGGTGGTCGTGGTGGTCGTGGTGGTCGTGGTGGTCGTGGTGGTCGAGGTGGTCGTGGTGGTCGTGTTGGTCGAGGTGGTCGTGGTGGTCGCGGTGGTCGAGGTGGTCGTGGTGGTCGTGGTGGTCGAGGTGGTCGTGGTGGTCGTGGTTGTCGATTTTTCCGAAAAATCACGACATATGCATTCCAGTGGTTAAACTGATAGCGTTACACGGCCCGTCACGCCAGTGTTACCGATAGATACGCTTTAAACAATTTGCTTAAAGGCAGATTAAAAGCAATTCGAAATTAAATCTTTTAGTAAACCTATTATTCTCATTGATTGTAGCATTTTCTTCAGATACATCATATAGCGTCCCCGGGATAGCATCACACACTTTCATGTTCAGTTTCAGACTGTTGATTTCCCTCAAAAAATGGTTTATAAACAGAAACAAAATCTAAAAATTAAAACTGTTTAATGGATGAATTTTGCATTGCGGGATATTTACGAATTAAACAATACCATTTGGTTTATGAAAACTAATTTCCTTGAAGCAATTAAATATTTTTGAGTAAGTATTGGTGAAATAGTTCTTTTCGAAGTTTTTTAGACCCTTGCGGGCTCTCAAAGCTGAAAAAAAAGCTACGTGGATGCCAAAGAGGAGCCTATATACTTGTATGACAACCTGTATGAATCATGAAGCTACTGCACGACTGTATACTATATGACCCATTAAAACAAAGAGGACACTTTGGTGGTTTGCCAGGCTTACCATTAACTAAGTTTCGGGTTGTTTTCGACGTTTCAGTGGAAAATTTCTGAAACAAACGGAAAGGCTGAAAAGGCATTCGGTTATTTTCCTTGTTGGAAAATCCCAGGCGGAAATTCGGATTTCATGTCTTCAAACCTTTTTTAAATATCAGTTTCAGGCTTTCGCAGCCGTTTTTCCTTAAACGAAACTGACTTAGGCAAATGGTAAAAGCGATTACCGAACCGAATCAAAATTCAGCAGTCCTGAATTCTGTTCACCATTTGCCAGCCCAGACCGTGAAGCGACCAGTTTACCATGTAAAAAGTAGAAAAGCCTTGTGTCCAAAAGCCTGCGATACAGCTTCCTCTCATCGCTATCTGCCACTAGGGACACTTCGTCACAGAGCGGTGAGAGGCGGGTTGAGACAATGCGCCATATATCTTAAGTACCTTGAGGGGCCTTGTTAAGTGCATAGTAGATCGTAGTAATGACAGATTGTTGCAATATCTCTACGCTTTAAGAGACACAAACAGCAAACTCGCTATTCCTCTGCCCCAGACAAATGTTTAAAGAAAAATAGTTTTTCTGGAGCAGTCCTTTGAAATAGATTTCCTATATATTGACCAGCGGCAGGCGAAGTCTCTTAGGGTTTTGAAGGCTGGCTGCAAACAATTCTTCCGGAGATCTACACGGTACTTACGTAAAGCAGACTAAGGCTCTCAGTCTAATTCGGTTTTGTGACAAAGAAAAAGGTAAGGTTTTGGAGGCCTTGATTCTTAAACAGGTTATACAATTCCAAGCGTCTTGAACATGGCATTTTTTGTAGACGAAAGGCCTTGAACAGGGGGTAGACTTTGGCGGTGCGCCGTCTACATGCGAGGTACCAACAAACTTTTAAAAAATCTAATAAGTGAATCTTGCTTTCTTTTTTCTCTTGGTACTTGATGGATTAGATGAAATGGACTCTACTGAAATGAAACGAATCTATGACTTGGTTGAGGGTAAAGAACTCTCCAGCGTTCATGTTATGCTCACATCTCGTCATGAGGTAGGAAGGAAACTTAAGAGGTATTGCGACATTCTGTGGGAGATTGTAGGATTGAAAGAAGATGCAAATAGTTTTATTCGTACGTACTTTAAAAGCATCAAAAGGGAGAACTTACTTGGGAATTTGCTACAAAAGATTTGGTATTCGCATGAGTTAAGAAACTTGTCCAAAAATCCCTTGAACGTAACCTTGTTTTGTGTTCTTTGTGAAGATTTAGAGAGCATTTTTCCAACGAGCAGGACCGAATTGTAGATTGAAATTGACCCCAACAACAACAGAAGGCACATTATAATTGGCTGTATCTATAAACACCCGCCTGCAAATGAGGAAGAATTTACACTTGTATCTGATGAATTCTTAAACAAACTTAATCCAAGCAAATATGATATGTATATATATTGGCCTTTTGAAGTATCATTCACACCAGCAAACAGAGAGATCCCTTGATATGATCTACTCCCTTGATCTTTTACCAGTAATAATTAAACCGACTAGAATCACTAATCATACAGCGACACTGATAGATAATCATATCTATACCAACAATGTAAACAGATTGACATCTGGGATTGTCATAGTTGATATCTCGGACCATTTGCCAGTCTTTTGCATGGTTGACACACCTCTCAAAAAGCAAAATAGACAAAATACGTATTTTAGAGCCCGTTTACATAAAAGGGGGACCCCAGGTAGGTGAGGTAACATGGGGCGGGTTACCCCACCTAACATGTAAACGTAATCACATCAAAATGAGAGATTATCTGGGGTACCCCACCTTCATGTAAACAGACCCTTAGAGACTATAGTAAATTTAACACAGAATCATGCCTCCACGATATTCATACAATTGACTGGAATGCGATAACTGAACAATGCAATGATTTGCATGAAGTAACAGCTCACACTATTGATGCAGTTGAATTGATTGTTGAAAAACATGCACCAAAAAGAAAACTGTCTAGGAATCAACAACTGATAAAGAGAAAGACAAAAAGTCAGACTACTCCCCTAAGAGTAGCTAGGAATAACAAGATATATACCAACAACGAAGATATTGCAGATCAGTTTAATAAAAATTTTACTAATGTAGGCCCAAACTTGGCCAGTAAAATTGACAAAAGCAATGACAATCCTACACAGCATATCTCGTCATCTTCAATTAACAGTTTTGTTATGGGAAATGTCACAGAAGCTCAGGTTTCAAACTTGTTCAAGAACCTAGATACAAACAAATCATCAATTGGCATACCTAACAAACTAATAAAAATAGCGGCTGTGAGCCATTATCTGTTCCATTCACGCAAATTTATAATCAATCGATTGAAACTGGTATAGTTCCAAATATATTAAAAGTTTCACAGGCTACTCCAGTGTACAAAAGTGGTGATGCAACTGACCCAGCCAACTATAGGCCTATTTCAACTCACTCATCTTTTCGTAAGGTTTTGGAAAAGTCAATACAATAACCAACTATACAACCTCCTTGAAAAATATAGCATTTAGTATAAGTATCAATTTGGATTTAGGAAGGGACACTCCACTGAGCAGGCCATCTTAGAAATTATTGACTTACTTAAGAAGGCTATGGATAAAAAATTGCTCACCTATGGTCTTTTTCTTGACTTTTCTAAGGCATTTGATACAATTAACCATGATATTCTGTTATCAAAACTCTATAGATATGGTATACGTGTAATCCTCTCAGATGGTTTGATACTACTTATACAATCGTAATCAGGTTGTCAAAATTGGTGACACTATATCTGGCAGTCAGACCATTATCTGTGGTATACCTCAAGAGTCAACTTTGGGTCCATTGTTTTTTCTGCTCAAAGTTCAAGCAAACTATCCTACCGAATCTTTGCTGATGACACTAATATGTTTTATGCGAGTAATAATCTGTATAACCTTAAGTACGTCATGAATGAAGAATTTAAGTCAGTAGTTAAGTACCGTATTTATTCGAATAAGCGCCCAACCTCGAATTAGCGCCCAGCCCACCTCGAATAGGCGCCCATCCTAAAGGCAGAAATAGTTAATAAGCACCCAGCCTCGAATAAGCGCCCACCCCCTCCTCCTCCCAATCAAACTCAAATAAGTTTTCACCCCCACCCCACCCACTTGAGTGAATAAATTCTAATAAGACACTTCCCCGAGGACGGAGTTTTCTTCAGAGTATTTTACAGAAACCTTACTTTGTTACTTCTTCGCGTTTTGTTATTAGCTTTTTTTGTTTTGTTGCAAAATAAACATACTTCACTAGCTGAAAATGGTGAGAATTTAATAAGCGCCCAGCCTCGAATAAGCACCCACCTCGAATAAACGCCCACTCTCAAGGTCCAAAAATATAATAAGCGCCCATGGCGGTTAATCGAATAAATACAGTACTGTGCCAT